AACATGACCATGCGCACCAACATGACCATGCGCACCAACATGACCATGCGCACCAACATGACCATGCGCACCAACATGAACATGTGCACCAAGATGACCATGCGCACCAACATGAACATGAGCAGCGCAGAACCAACAAAGACCGACGCGGCGTAACTCAAATTAGGATTCATCTCATCTTTCTTTAGATTCAAACGAGCGAGCGGATATGTTCAAAAGCTTTGTGGCTGGGGAGGCTTCCAAGGAAAGCTGGAGGAAAAGCTGGTCAGAAGGCAGACGAAAAATAATTCGAAACATTATAATTATATCAAGGGAAAATATCTGTTGGAACTGGATGAGGATGGATAGTATCAATATGTTGCATTGTTATTGAATAATTTATTAGCATAGGTTGAGAAGAAATCTTTGATTGTGTTTTTGGGTCTTACTTCCGGATTCCTAAGGTATGAAAATTAAGACATCCAAGGAAAGGAATTGGCCTTTTTAAGTACATGACTACTTATACTTACTTAGTATGACTCGAAGCAAATAAAGTGTTATCATTGTGAAAATGGATATTTTCCAGTTTTTCACTGAAATTAAAAGGCCAGATTCAACACACAACTAAAAAGGAATTAAAGAGCGCGCAGCGAGGTATATAGTTTCTGAAAGTATATATCGTAGAAAGTATAACAAGATTTATTTATCGATTAAGTCAGTTTAATTGCAATTAAGATTAATTTCTTGATCGTTCGTTTCAATTGAAAAGTATTTCACGACTTATCTCAAAACAAGGATCTACAGTATAAATCGAAGCCAATTATGTACCAAACGAAACCAGACCTAATTAATGACAAACCTGAAATGATTCACCCATTTTCATTTTTTCGAAACATATAACAAAATATTGATTTGCTACGGAAGTGTGTTAAACCAATTAGCAGAAGGTAACCGAGCCGTGAAGGTCGGAGGTTAGGGGGGAACGTGACAACATGCAGACTTCACACTCTGGCATCCAGGATGCCCCGCACCTCCCATCGCAGTTTCCACACATTCTGGAAAATTCACCTCCTCTGCCAACTCAGGTCAAAGTTAGGACTACAAAAAAGTGAAGTTTAATTAGGGAAGTTTGGTGGAACAAATTATAGAAGAATTTTGATTGCTCGCGACCAACAATGGCTTCTATAGAGACTGGAATAGTTCACAATAATGCGTTCGGGCTTCACCTTCGAATACAAACGCGTTGACATGGAGGTCTCATCTATCCAGTCACAATTGAAGCTGTATTGAAGTAGAAATAGATTTATATTTCATGTTTTCTAGCGTTAAAATGAACATTTTTTTCACTGATATTTCACATCCTTTGAATGACAACGTAATTTCTAGATTTGCATGGCTTTATTAACGTATGCCTTTAAACGAAAAAGTTATTGTGTAGTTGCGCGTAAAAATAAAATTCATAAGATCAGTCATTCTAATTTACTAACTTTTGCTGAATAAATAAACTCGAAAAATGACTTGTTTTTCTTTCACAATTGCAAAAAGTCATGACAGATTGAGGTTACATGAGTAGCGATGATAATGATTAGGAAGAAAATATGCCAAGAATTTCTTTCATGGTTGACATTATAACAAAAACCAGCTCGGATAATTTCAAATTGTTATCGTGAATGTGTTGAAGAATGTTTGATATTGCCTTAATTATCATCTGAAAACTACTGCATCGTTAGGGTCTTATTGAAATAGTCCCTAAAATATCTCGTCAATTCGAAGAGGACGAGTTAAATATCACGAATAATCGACACAGCGATTAAATCGTTTGTGCTTTCCAACGAGTGAAGAATTTTGAACAGCAAAAACGAAGTCTTATGGCGCGATAGGTAAACAGCCGCGTTGAAAATCAAAAGTATGAATGACACGTTTGTGACAAAATTTCTAAAATATATTCACTTCTAATTACAATATACCTCGATCTGGACTTCGACTTCAAATAAGTAACGTGGTTTCCAACGTGGTTTCCATTTACCAAAATTCACGTTTTAGTATGATGTGGATGGATGAAAATATCGATATGTTGATTTATTCTTATCTATCTATATGGATGAAAAAAAGCATATAGTAGGCAAGCCATGCATAGCTTTGTAGGTTTTTTCTTCTGCAGAGTCTTTTGCCGAATTGGCATGGCTGAGTTCTTGAGGTCCGTGGATGAATTTAGAGATTCATTTCACTTGACTTTGATTTTGTGCCTTTGAATTTGACCCCCATTCAAAGAGAATATTAATTTTCAGATAAAGGGATACATGCTTATATGACATTAGCTATTAAGCATATTTTTTAATGTTTCGTTTCATTTCACGCTTACCATAATCATAGTTTATAGGAAAAGATAAAACGAATCTCATTCATCCCTGATGGTTAAATTAAATGCTCAC